GTTTGATTATGGATTTATTATGATCAAACTCGTCCAGTTTATATACTCCATCCTATAATTTTTTAATTTTATAAAAACATTTTTTCCCGTAGCAGTAAACCTAACTTGATAAGTCTGATCTTCATAAAATGTTTGAATGAATATGACTTCTTTATGAAAATATTTATATAGAAAAATTGTAATAAAACATAGTACAAATCCAATTAGACAAATAATTGAAATTTGCTTAGTCTTCAGGCGGGGTTATTTATATTTAGAGTTTTCTTCCACATTCTTTACACAGATATAATCGTAGACTGACTTCTTATACTTAAGGTCCTTTGGTGTTACGACTCAGGAAATTCAATCGGATGAAGTAGACGATAAGAAAGAGCTCAATTTTACAGAGAGGCGGGGAATTTTATACTGACTGCCTTCAACACCGCCATTGGCATCATGTGTTGTAGCTAAAACTCCTCCTTGTATATATTTTTACAAACAGAAATTCGATTTAGCATTGTGGGATTGGACGACCCCCCCTTTTCAAACCAGCTGGTAGGTTACCATTCACCGAAAAAAGTGTTAAATACAGGCACTACAAACCGTTTAATGATTGGTGATGATGTTGAGAGCGTTTTAGATTCACTCAAAAAAATTAAATCAAGATCTTTTTATTCCTGAATAAATTTTACATGTTTGTAACAAATTGTGTATGTACAGGAAAAATAATTACCAAGTAGACTATCCGTCTGTGTTTGGGAATGAGTTGCTAATACAGCTATACACAGGTCCATAAACATTCAGGAGTACTTAGACAATTAATTATGATAGTAAATAAAAAAGAAAATATTAACAAGATGAAAAGAAAACACCTAACTGCATCAAAACATCCAAAACTCAAATTTAGTGTTTGTAAGTGGTATATAGCAATGAAGGAAAAAAAAATAATTTGGTGATGAATGCAACTGCACAAAATTATGAGTACAACGATTTGAGTAATCCTTCTGACTGCTCCTTGCCGAGATTTAAAAGCCAGCTCATGACTCTTGCACATCTCGACCTTAATTCTTATATAGCCTACCATGTACCTGTGTTCTTTATAGAAAAGGAAACTTATGTATAGGCTTTAGTGCCGAAGGAGAAATTTACCAAACACAGACCAGAGATGGGTCATATGAATGCACATGGTAATATTGATTATAATATTTTAATAGTGAAATTTAATTTTCCAACCCAACCACCAAATACACCTGTGGGCCTTGTTATAGTGAAGGAAACAGCTAAAATTAATATTAAGGATACTAAGAAATATAGTTTGGACACATTAATTTTATGAAATCTATTCGTTGTCCCCGATATGAACTGATATAATCATATGATGATTTTTGTCCTCATGGCCAACAAAGGAAGTCAATCGTATGAAGAAGTAATGTACGCAGTACAGAAATACAAAGGTTGAAAGTGATAAGGGTATTCTAAATTTAAAAGAGAGAACACAGATTTATTTCTTACCAGTAGTAATCGTTTAGTAGTATCATAACAAATTAAATTGATTGAATGCATGTAGAAATAGCACTTTAAAAACATTTTTCGGTAAATATTTTTTAACTATCTTGGATTGAGCTAGGCAATAGTTATTTGTGTAACTAGTGGACGAGATGGCACTTTGCTGCACGCGATGGAAATGTTTTCGCTCGTGCCGTAGGCGAGTGTGGAAAGTTTCTCGAGTGCAGCAAAGGCAGTCTGCACTCGCGTTACACATTATACTTTTCCTACATCACTATAAATAATCTATATTAAGAGGCAAGCATGTTTCTTTAAAACCTTTTTTCTCAGCTTAAAATCTACGTATACTGTTGGAAAGATATTTTCCTGCAGATATGCAGAATTCCTTTATAAATTAAAATTGGCTCAGAAATAGGCACAAAAAATGAACTTAACATTTTGAAAAAAAAGTTACATGGATCTTATGGGTTGCCATGCTGGTGACGAAATAACAACGAAATATGAACAGAAAATCAAAACAAATGGAAGAAACTGCAATCACATGTTTTATTTACAGTGTGAAAATAGAGAAGTCTGTATAATACATATTGTTGGTCGAGTTTTTGACCACTGGACGGTCCTCTAGTGTAAACAACTAACCTTTCAAACACTTGAAAATACGTTTTTAGGTTAGGTTAAATCAAAACACTGAACGAAATGGGAATAATGCACCAGCTGATTGTAGTCGATATATCTTTAAGTGCTGCCAACTTATTTCAAGCGTATACGTATTACGTGCCTAATAAAAGCACGCTGTTTTGTGTTGTTTGGTTGGAATACTGGTGTGCGGCAAAAAAACCTGTGCGGAAAAAGTGAAAGTGTGCGGCAAAAGTAAGTAGATGCCGCAATTAGCAACTTTCTGTGTAAGGAAACTATCAGTGAACTATCAGTGAAAGGAAAGCCACGTTGTTAAGGTGATTGTAGAAAAAATTCTTTAACGAAATCATCGGCTTAAAGTTGTAGTATTTTTACGGACCCAACACATGTTGGCGCTGAAGGCATTTGCTTTACAGCCTAAAAACCTATTTAAACTCGGCCTTTTGTCCATGGTCTATTGCATTTTTCACACCCTGTATACAAGAAAGTGTCGAAATGTGTTAAAAACTGCACCATTTTATAAGCTTTCTAACCATATGCTACACTATTGAGGTTTATGTCTGCTTAAATACGCTTTAATGGTTTGAAGACTACAAAGCATGGTATCTTTAACATTTAAAACATAGAAAGTTGGCATGTATTAAGACAAAAGTTGTATTTTCGTTTCAGCTTGAACAGTAAAAACATTACAAAAGTTCCCTGTTTTCTGGTATTCAAACCACTAAAACAAACAAAAAAATATCTAAACCTCAATAGTGTAGCATATGGTTGGAAAGCTTATAAAATGGCGCAGTTTTTAACATATTCCGACACTTTCTTGTATACAGGGTGTGAAAAATGCAATAGACCATTGTTTTTAAAATGTTTACCAAACATCTTATTTTTTATCTTTGAATCTATTTACAACGGAGTTTTTATAACTGATCCTCCATTATTTTCCATTATTCTTGTTCAAAATTTAATGTAGAACACGAAAATGACATTATCTTCTCAAATCCATAATACAGGCAATTATTAGGTTTAAAAGCATGGTTATTTTTGAAAAACACAAAATAATTAATTTTGGGAAGCTAATTTTGAGACTTGGAACATTTGATGGGTGCATCATCACACTTAATTTACTTTGTACTTACACTAAATTTTTTTTGTCACACCGAGTACCAATCACCCTGTATTGATGATAAAATCCACATTTGATTTCGGGTTGAAAATACTCGCAGAAAAGCTCTTATAAGCATTCTCTGAAGATCAAAGACGTTTATTTAATATAAGTTCTGAATGTAATAGAACTTTATCTGACTTAAACTTTATCTAGTTCGCTTTCCTGGAATTGAATTATATCTGCGAAACACTAGATTTACCTCCAGGTTATCTTAAAGTTTCAAAGTCAATTAAAATGTTGAAGATACTGCAGCAAACAGCAGTTTTTAAGTCAAAAGTAGGTCAAATGTAGTCCTTTTACTCCCTAAGAAGTAAATCCCTGGGGAGTAAGAGTCAGCTGTTGTAAGCTCAGTTGAAAACTTCGGTTGTAAGAATTTCGCATGTATCGATTTATTTATTAGTATGATTTTAATTATTGTTGCATTCTTTTCAATAGTTTTGAATATGGACGGTATAATATACACTTACACAATCGTAATACATAGACGAAATAATGATTAAATTACTTACTAAACAGCTGCTTGTTTGCATTAGCAAAATTGAAAACCTGTTGAAAGTCATTTTGAGAGGATGTCTTTTCACAAAATGTATTTTCTTTTTCTAGGTTAGTTTTTTTATGTTGCAATATGACGAAAAACATAGTTCATCACACGGGCATAACGTGTTTTCCAAGTTCCAATCACTCGCTAATAGTATGTGGAGAAAGTATAGTGTTATTTGAGCTTGGTTAGATAAGATCCACTTTACGCCCTTGTGTTAAAATATACTATTCACCGTGTTTTATATAGTGACTCGTTTGATGATAAAATCCACGTTTGATTCTCCCCTTGGGTTGAGACCACTCAAAGGAAGGCTCTTAAAAGCATTCTCTGGCGATCCGAGACTAGGATTGTATGTAAGTTCTGAATGTCTTACCTAGTACAAAGTTCACTTTGCTAGAATGAAATTAGAATTGAAAAACACTAGTTTAATCTCAATTGTAGTCTTGAAGTTTTAAAGTCAATCTAACTTTTTTAGTAACAAAGTAATTAGCTTGTTTTGTACCTTTTTGTGTTTTTGTTGTCCTACTTTCACATTCTAGGACGTAGACTCTAGTCTGGAGCTATTTTAGTCATTATTTTAAGCTAGGTCTAGAATGTTGTGGCATTATCACTGATAAAACGAATTGGTGATTGGTAGGATTCAAACCCGGAACCATGAGGACTGAAGCCTCGTGCTCTCTACTGTTTCATGAAGGTTCTTGGTAAGTTGAAAATATGTAGATGGTACTCAAATATACCCATAAAAACTGGCTTTTAGAAAATAATTTTTCTTTTAAATGCTTTTATTTTATTTTAAATTTAAACAAAACCACTATAAGTTTGTGTTATCTAGTAGCTCATCTGGTACTATAGCTCATCGCGTCAAATATTGGTAGGAGTTTTGCAGAATTTATACTTATATTATTTTTGCTCGGTCTAAAGTGATCGTTATGCATGAAAAAATTAAACACACACATTTAAGAATATGTATTGTCATGTTGTTCAAAAAAGCTTTAATAGGCTTAATAGGAAGGAATATTTGACTTATTCTTCAATTATATAAATACTAACCTTTTCGTCTGAACAGTGACAGAACAAGATAATATTTGAAAAAGGGATATTAATTCCAATTATTGCTTAATTTATTTTCAGTATTTATTTAATTATTCACATTTATAGTTGAACAAGTTTGTTCGTCTAATTAGAATCTTTGGGCGGTGGAGGTGGTGCAGAAACGTTAACAGGTGCGGAGGACTTTTGTGCGGGGGCTGAAGCAGATGAAGGGGCCGGTGCAGAGGCGAAGGAAGCAGATAGAGGGGCTGAGGCAGACGAAGGGGCTGAAGCAGATGAATGGACCATAGCAGGAACGAAGGGGGCAGTTTTGACTTCACTTGACTCAACAGATTCGGCACTAGCTGGAGTAGCAATGTTTGCAGTGGGGGAAGGTATAGCTTTAGCTGGAGCAGCATTAGAAGGGGAGGGAGCCACGATGTTGTCAGCGGAAGGTGCAGAATTACTTAGTAGACTGGGGAAAGCGGCTGAACCCACAGTAAAGGACACTGGAGTACCAAAGGGGGATCGCAAAACTACAAAACCTTCAGGAAAGGCACTTTGTGATTGAGGAGTGACAGATGAAGGAACTTCAACGAAGGGGGAAGTTAAACGCACTAAGGGAGCAGCACCTGAAACTGCCGCAGAGGATGAAACGTAGATTGGCTGAAAAGCAGCGGGAACACTAAATGGAGTGTAGGCTACTGGTGCTTGAGCAGGAGATGAACGTGCCCAGGGAGAAGCAGCAGAGGGAGCAGCAACGTAGATCAGCTGAGCGGTAGCGGGAGTGCTAGAGGCATCAAGAGCAGCTGGTGCTCCTGCAGGGGAGGCACGAGCCCAAGGAGAAGCGGCAGAGGGAGCAGCAGCGTAGATCAGCTGAGTGGTGGCGGGAGCGCTAGAGGCATCAACAGAAGCAGGTGCTCCAGCAGTGGAGACACGAGCCCATGGGGAAGCAGCTGAGGGAGCAGCAGCGTAGATCAGCTGAGCGATAGCGGGAGCTCTAGAGGCATCAACAGCAGCTGGTGCTCCTGCAGTGGAGACACGAGCCCATGGGGAAGAAGCTGAGGGAGCAGCAGCGTAGATCAGCTGAGTGGTAGCGGGAGCGCTAGAGACATCAACAGCAGCTGGTGCTCCTGCAGGAGAGGCACGAGCCCAGGGAGAAGCAGCTGAAGCAGGGACAGCGTAGATCAGCTGTGAGCTGGCAGGGGCACTGGAGGCATCAAAAATGGCAGGTGCTTCTGCAGGGGAGGCACGAGTCCAGGGAGAAGCAGCAGAGGGAGCAGCAGCGTAGATCAGCTGAGCGGCAGCGGGAGCGCTAGAGGCATCAAGAGGAGCAGGTGCTCCTGCAGGAGAGGCACGAGCCCAAGGAGAAGCAGCAGAGGGAGCAGCAGCGTAGATCAGCTGTGAGCTGGCAGGGGCACTGGAGGCATCAACAGCAGCAATGGAAGCACGAGCCCAGGGAGAGGCAACTGAGGGAGCAGCAGCGTAGGTCAGTTGAGAGCCGGCAGGAGCGCTAGAGGTGTCAATAGCGGCTGGTGCAGTGGAACGAGCCCAAGGAGATGCAGCTGAAGGAGGGATAGCGTAGAAAAGTTGTGAACCACCGGAAGTCCTAGAGACATCAAGAGCGGTCATTTGTACAAACATATTAATAACAATAGAAACTTAAGATAAGATGTGTACACTTTTCTTCCAACTTACACCTATTGTCAATAGCTTTATGATCTGGGAGCACGAGTAAAATTATAACAATTTTATTTTTATTTTAAGACACCATATTTAGTAAATTTTTACTAAGTTTTTAAATAATTTCCTTAAATAATGACTCAAACATTATCTTTTACGACGGTAAAATATGAGATACTTTTTTTATCTCAACAAAGATGTAACAGGTATATTTATAATAATAATAATAAAATATCAATAATAAAATAATAATTATATTGTTCGTTACTTTAACAGATCGAAACTGCATGATAAAATTTGTGGTGAAAATTACACTTAAAAATAAAATTAAACTTTAATTTTTGTTTATATGTTGAAGGATTTTTTGTTTTCAAATCTATCCTACGGTTGTGATCCTGAAAATTTGGCATAATTGGACAACATCGAAATCCATACTATCTATTAACTATATTTCATCAAATATAATTATGAAACAGTTTTTTACTAAACCTGCAAATATTTGCATTATAATGTTGGTTTTGCCTAGGTTTTGCATAGATAAAAAGAATTCAATTTTTATTATTTATTCTATTTTTTGTATGGTTTAAGTATACGAAAAATAAGTACTTACAGAGGAGGAATGGACGCGGCTCTCACAATGGTGATTGCTGCTACTAGAACCTGAAAGATGAGTATTAAATCAATCCCCCAAAATATGTATTTTAATTTGTTCATTCAGTATACAATTTCAATGGACCACGAAGGGTGGTTTACCATTTTATTTTATTAAATAAACTGGTAACTGTTCAATATCCTTTGATTGTGTCAGATGACGACCGGTTTCGTGACGACGGTCACATCATCAGGTCCTCGATCCTCGTAGAACGATTTGTTAAATACACTTTAAGTTTATAGTGGACACAAGACACATAACATTTACAAAATATTTGCAATTATTTCCCGGAACTGGGACAGAAACCATCGCGATGCATGCACACTAAAGGTCGAGCCGGCCGCAACTGAAGTTCCATCAAAGGTCAAGGTGACGTCATCCGAATAATCAGCTGATCAGTGGTTTCTGATTTTCTTTCTCTATCTAATGTGATAATAGTATCAAACACATCGTTCGGACTATTGATTTTGTCATTTAAAATATGTTTTGTTTCTAATTTGTTTCAAAATTTCCGAGAGCTGTTATTTGGGATTTATTGTTGCAAAGTTCTGTAGTAAAATTAACTTCTTAGCATTTTTATTGGTTGTTACCAACTGAAGGTGGATATTTTGTAACAAATCTAAGAATTGTATTTATTTAAAATCTTGTTAATTCTAGTTTTACCATAATAATTGATTAAATAACAGAAATATTGCTAGTAAACACGAAAAAATTTTTATAATTTAAATAAACCGTTTGAAGTTGCTTTGCTCAAGTGTGTTTTTGTGTGAATGTCACATTGACAAAGACTACACAAAGCTACAGAGTGTATACAAATATAACCAGTTTTCAAAGTGAACATTGCATTCAACAAACCAGGTCAAAGTCCTTTATGTAAAACTTGCTTAAGAAATAAACAATTAATATGTTATATGATGGTTCGTATGAGTAAACTTGTGTAAAATTAATGAAAAACCTCGTACTTCGTATTTAAATGTTATTACTTTATGTGTTTAAAAAATGAACTATTCAAGGAAGAAATTAAATTAATTTTTGTCACTGGTGAGAATGTAAAAATTAATACTGTATTTTTATTTTTCTATTTTACAACGTGCTAGACAAATTAAAAACTAATGTTTAAAACGAAATTGTGATTCTACTAAATTGTTGATGTATGAATATCTCTTTCACCTATATTACATTTCACTTTGAGTGATTTGAACTGCTAGCATGAATATTTAAAGACAAATTTATTCTTTTAAACTGTTTTAAAAAGAGAGATACAAATTTACTTTTTACTCATTGAGACATTATAAGACAACTAGACTACTTAATAGAATAATGCGGGTCTCTAAATCTACTGTAAAAAACAGTTTACCCGTAAACTTGACAGGAAAATCTCAATCTTACTAAGTTATTTTAATAAAAATCTCTTAAAAGCAGAATCAAAACTATTAACTTTATTGTAATGTAAACAACCGTATTGAGTATCATACGGAACCGTATTGAGTAACTACTTAAGGGAAAAGTCAACAAACAAACCTAGATATAAACAAATCTAACAGCTGATACATGTTCAATATTTTAAATTTTATTAAATTAATAGTTTACTTGAAGCGATTTAATTGAAATTTGTGCCCTTAGGAGAGGGTTTATTGAAATAATGATATTTTTTGGGGAAGTTTTACATCGGTTTTCTTAAAAGTAGCAAATAATAAAATGCATTAGGTCCACCATTAAAAAAAAAAATTTGTTGCTTTTAATCACTAAATAAAAAAATTCATAAATTTTAAATAAAATACCACTCGTATTCTGCACTTACCAAAGCTCCCTTCATGTTGTGTTGAGGTCAGTGCTGGAAAGTGACTTCCCCGAGTTGACCAGTGGTATATATCACACCTTATCTATCTCCTAATGGTCCATACTTCAAACTACGGAAATATTTCACTGATGTCTGTTGATATGCAAACTGGCTTGTAGACCTAGGGTTTTGACCGGATTAAAAGTTTAAACGAGAATCTTGAGTTGAGCAATTGATAATAGATTGTGTCATCAGTATGTAATAGATATTGACCAATGACTTGGCAGACTTTTAACTTGCTTGTTGTTGGATGCATTTATTTTTACAATTAAATTATATACCGGTAAGCTGATTTAGTAAAGTGTCCTTACCTCAAGGTAAAAATACAACAATAAAAACACCTTGTGTCCCAAAACTCCCGCCCCTGTTTCTTTTATTAAAAGAGAAAAATTATAATATTAAAACAATGTTTTATTTGATAAAAAAAGTTTTTGGTGTATGTTAATTGTCACCCCCTCCCCCTCCAAAGGGGTATTTTGAGGTTAAAACGACATTTTCAAAGAAAACTACCCCTTTTTAAAAGGGGGAAGGTGGTGGGGGTGAAAACTTACATACACCAAAAACTTCCCGTTTTGATAATTTAAACTTTTCCTGATTATTAGAATTTTATCTAAAAAAAACAAAGAGATATACGTCTAATAACACTAGTAATAATATGTTTACACTTATACAGTTGACTCACAAGATGGATAATCTAAATTTTAATAAAAACTGAGGGGGTGGAACTTTTGGGACACACTGTATGATTTCTTTTATCACATATTTACCATTGGCCCTAAAGTTTAGGCATGACGAAATAACATTTAAACACCTTAAACTTGGTCAGAATCTTTTCGTTAATTAAGTAAACTAATATGTTATGTTTACTTTTAGTACGATTTAAATTGAACTAAACTAATTTAATTTTGTAATTTATTGACTAACTAAAGATATTCTTGTGTTTCCTTATACAAACAAAACATAGATTTGTGGTATGTATTTTAAACTTTTATATCTTTTAATATCCATCAACCTCATTTTAAAATGTTTTTGAAAATACAGTTTATCAGCTTATATCAAATGAAAACCATTAAAAGCACCAGCTTAAGCGAAGAAAGAATTTCGCCTCTTTCAGATAAAGTTTATTTATTGCTCGAATTCACGTCTTTAAAAGGCGGATCAACAAGAAAAGTCACGAACGCAGCGTTTATGCGTCGATTCGTTGGACCAGATAATGAAATTATTCATTCAAAGGTTAGCGTGAGAGCATTTATTCAATTAGCGGCCATTTTGTCTGCTCTAGAATTGGAGGGAATCAGTTAAGACTTCCAGACACGTTATTTCTGGGCGGCAAACATCTGATAATGTTCTTGGAGTTTTGCGGTAACATCTAACTTAAGCTTAAATGTCTATCTTGTAACGGATATTTATTAGTTGATTATTATCGTTAAAAATTAAAAATATTAGTGTAAGATTTTCAACTTATTTAGTGGAAACTATTTGGAATTTTAGGTTAGAAGAATCGTGTTGCAATAGTACGATAAATGTACGTTTAGAATTTTCATTGATGTCATTAGCCATAGTTAGGAATAATGATTGGTAGAATAAATTGTAACCAAATTATCATACTGAAATGAAGTGTTGATGAGTGTGGAACTTTTGTTATAGTTGTAAGGTTTCCAAAGCTGGTTGCAATTCACTATACATTTTCTTATTGAGATTTTGCCTTATGAATCTCATCTAAAAATTGGATTAAGAAACTTGTGTTTTTCTCTCGACACAATAAGATCCAGCTATAATTCAAGTCAAAACAATTTCTTCTGTACTATTAAGACAAGCTTACGGTAAGGTTTGTAATGCGCATTCATTTATCATTAGGCCTAAGTTTTTCTTAATTTCACATTCAACCATAACCAAAAGTATGTGTAGATTAAGTACAAGAAGTATAGCTTGGACAAAAATTATTTATGGCTGATATTGTCACCACTTATCTGTGCTAAACGGTGAAGATTAGGCTTTCTCAGAATACTGTAGTTATGAGTTTCTCAGAAGGTGTGACGAGTGTTATTGCCCCTGCTTCTTAACGATTCATGTTCATCCCTTACATGATACTAAAACCAAGGTACAGAGGAAGTACGCTTATGGAAACAGAGAAAGCATCCTCTAAGATTGCGTCCATACAAAAATTACCCCCACCGTAGCAAACCTACTAATCAAATTTTCATTTGCTGATTAGTTTTTCATAAAAATATCACCTTAAAAATGTCATATCTATTCTCTATAGCACTAGTTTAACGAGTAATTAGGTTTGCTGTAACAGGGAAGTTAATAAAGTGTTTTTCTAGTGAAATGTTATTAGTTTTGTATGATATAAATACATTTTCCAAATTCGATCGAAATGTGTTCATAAACAAGCAAACTACAAGTTTACTAATTCTCCATAAAAATAACATGGGGATTTTAAATTTACAGTTTTTTTTTATTTTCTCCTTAACCTTTAAACGCACAACAACGCTTCAATATACTAAATTGTTTGTTTTTTTGCTTGTAGCTCTTCAAAATGGTTAAGAGATAAATTTATATCTTCTATTTTCAGGGTCAAAAATGGGAAAAACCAAATTTTACCCAAACAAAAAAACCATTAGCCCCCGTTTCCATAGTCCTGGTTCGAATGAATGTAGGTTTACACGTTTGTAACCTAAATTCAATCAAATCAGAAACTTTTAGCTCGAGTGATCGTGCTAACGGACATTTTGAATAATTTTAGCGCAGTTTAATAGATTCATACATTTGATTTCGATGCAAAATTAATGTAGTAAAATAAACATTTCAAGCAGTTTTTTTAGAACACTAATTAGGTGAAAAGAACTACAGTACTAATTGACAATACATTTGTTGATAATGATCTGCACTTTAAGAAGAGATTTACTTAGTCAATTGAATTATATACCTTTTTTACAGTTGTAAAAAGTAGCATTTTTAAAATACATTTTTTTAAATGTTTAGTCACTTGTTTTTTTAGTATTTGCAGGTGTGCTAGATTATAAGGTACCACTTGAATTGTAAACATTGGCTAAGTACGATGGCGGTAAAAGGGGTGTAACAGATAAACCCTTATTGTATCAAGTATATACATTCAAGTAGATTTTGAGAGATGGTTAAAATCTAGTTTTTTCCAACGTTAATTGCTTAGGCTTTCGATATTAAGCAAGAGCGTAATGATTCCTTTCCGCACAGTCTTAAAGTTGATTATCGACACATGGGTTTTATTTATATGCTCTAAGTTAATGAACATAATGCGTGATTTTTTTCGATGGTAATACAAATATTGATTACCTCATTTTTTGTCTAAAACAGCAAATTATTAGCATTTACGGTTTTATTTCCAGTGATTTAGTGAATCAGATATAATGTTTTAAAGAGCTTTTATGAGCTAATAAATACAAAACATAAAAACATATGATTCAAATAGGTATATTCCTTGTATTATTTTAACAATAACCCGAGCTCGAGTAAATGGGTTTTTGTAAAATAGCCACAGCGTTTATACTGTAAATAACATTCACGAAAATATTACAGGCTTAGTAACACTGTGGTCAACAATAAAACACTGTCCTGGAATGGTACAATACACAAGGGTAGAGTTAAGATTTAATCATGTTTTGAATTAAAACGGGAGTAGCGACCCCTTGTTCATTGTTTATCAAAATACCCGGTGATTAAATGACATGTCTATTAGTTCATAGCGTTTCCTACAACAAACTAGTTTATTGTACTTTGCACATTTGGCATTTACAACTACTGTTAAATGCACATGAAGCGAGCAGAAGTTTTGAAACAATGTACAATATTTGGAAGATAAATACATTTCCTTGTAAATTATATATTTTAAATGTTCTTACCATCCTTTTCCTTCGATGGAAGGTTGGCCAATTAATTCATAATCAATATTAGACTCTGTATCAAGCTATATTCCCCTTTCAACCAATAAAAATCTAGAAAACATAACATACACACAGAATTGCTTTAAATCACAAATGAAATTAAATACAGGTTATGCACGTATATTCAATAGCCTTTAGTGAATTGCCTAGGGAATAAACTATTACCGTCTGTTGATAAGATATTGATAATACCTAGACCCAGGACTTATTTATTTTCCGTTTTCTTGTCCCTAGAGGCCAAAAAACACAATCCATTTAAATTCATATAAAATATAATTTTTAGCGAATTTCTCATATGTCAATATCATAAATAAAAGAATAAGCTATTCCGTAGGTGTCATGGTAAGACCTAGACCCGGGACCGATTTACTTCTTCAATTTGAGGTCCCCAGAGACCAAAAACACCCTCCGTTCAAATTCATATACATATAAAATTATAGTAGGTAGTAAAAAAGTACAACTTAGCACCCTGAATATTATATTTTTATTAGAAGATTATATTATATTATATTTTATATGTTTCGGATTTTGATGAAACTTGGTACAAACGTGTAAACCTATGCTTATTCGAACGAGTTCGCGAACCAGCATGATTGGACTATAGGAAAAAGGGTTGTGTGAGGTTTTATGGGGTAAAAATAGCTTATTAATTTTTTACTCTAAAAACACAACATTTCACAATTTCTTCCCAAACCATTTTGTTTAGCTTAAAATCAGAAATAATTTTGTATATTGAAGCGTTGTTGTATGCCTAACTGTTACGGAGATAATAAAAAAACTTTAAACTTAAAATTCCCATATTATTTTTAAGGGGAATAAATAAAATGTTGTAGTTTGCTCGTTTATGGATATATTTGAATTAAATTTGGCAATTTTGTTTTTTTCATACTAAGCTATCAACATTTAAATAAAAAAACACACCTCAATACCTTCTTTTCTGATACTTTCCTGTATCAGAAAACCTAGGCACTCATTGAAATTAATATTTCTTAAATAGGAAATAAATCTGATAATCTTCATGTAATATTTAAGTGGAAATCCAGTCAGGTAAAT